GAGACAGGTATTACTACTTGTATTGACTATTTTTCTTTATACTAATAATTATTGTGCCAAATGAAAGTCTATTGTAATATTTTCTTCTGAGTCTTGCCGGGCTTTAGTGTATTATAGCCGATTCGCACAAATATACCACGTCTTTGTTGTCTTTTCTATTAACACAAAAATTAGCAATACGTTTTTAGATTAGAGTATGGAGGTTTCTTCTATACTATAAGTTGTAAAGCGGCAACGCGCTACCCGAAGTCGCACAAAACGCACATAACGCGTTACATCACCGAATGCCACGTTTGAGTCGAGTATTCGTTGTCGATGTTCAACGTCCAAATTAAAAAAAAAAAAAAAAAATTAAAAAAAATTGTAAGATAAATCCTTTGCATGGCAACAACTTGTTTTTTTTTCCCTTCGGACCAAATTAGAAAAAAGAAAAAAAAAAAGAAAACCATGTTGTCTGTCTATATATCTCTACAAAGGTGAGTGAGCACTGATTTCCTTTATAAAAAAGCCACAAAACGCACAGTCGCTGATCAATTTTCTAGACGAGACACACAGATACTATTTTTGTATACGAACTTTTAGATTTGTGTAGGATTGTTTGTGTTTTCCTTCTTCGTTAACGTGAAGGAAGTGGCATGTCCACGTCATGACATCATCTGCGCATGTGAGAACTTTTATAATTATTGTTCTCGCCCAGATACTAGGACGCAGTTTGGCCCAAATCTACGTTGGATGAGTGAATCCATTTTAACGTCACGTCGTCGCGCAATTTGAAAGCTCTCTAAAGAGACAGGACGAGAAACATGTTTATACTTACTCTTATTAATTCTTTTCAAAATCATTTGAGAGGTGCTATAATGACTATTATTATATCACTTCCCTGGCTAGTTAAAATGAGACTTCATGCTCATGCTTTATTTCAAAAAATAACTAAAATTCTGCACTTGGAAACAGTGACGAAGTTTCTTTGAATTTTGTTTTAAAGCTGAAAGTGTGCCTCAGTTTTCTCCATGCATTTTGCCTATTCTAATGATGTCACGTAGGCCTGTGGTAATCCTCAATGTCATGTCACGTAGGCCTGTAGTAACCCTCAATGTCTTGTATGCGTTTAGGGGAACACATAAATATTATATTTTTAATATTATATGTTTTCTAAATGAAAAGTACAATTGAATTTCAGTGCCAAGTGAATTTTTACCATTTTAAAATTAAAATACACTATTCAAAATTATAATTTTCATTCTTAGATTAGTAAAAAACGCTAGTAAAATTCTCAGTGTATGGGAGTGAAATATTCTGTAGGCACTCTTTTACTAATGTTTCTTGTATTTGATGTAAAGGTACTCATATAAAACTTAGTTATAAAAGCAAAGAATATTATGAGAAAAAAAAGTTAATTATCAGGTTTCCTTCCAATTAAAGACCACTTCTGTGGCTGTCTCTTATACACA